AGCAGGCAAAGCCAACTGGACAACACACACACACACACAATGCCAGAGCGAGCCAGCCGCAGAGTGTGTAAGTGCGAGCGAGTGACTGCGCGGAAGAGCGAGCAAGCGAGACAGATACAGACAGAGTGAGAGAGATAGACAGAGAGAGAGAGAGAGAGAGCGAGAGAGCGAGCGACAGGCGAGGCGCCTTTGCCCTGTGAGCGAGCGAAAGAGGGCGACGGCTCGCAACAGAGGGGGCAGGTAGAGGCGGCAGACGTAGGGCAGCTATGGCCAGGCGGTAAGGGTTGTTCACACACACGAGCGCACGCATAGGCACATATGTGTGCGTGTGTGTGTGTGTGCAAACGAGATGGCATAGGTTAAACGAGCCTAGGCCGAGGCCGATATGCCGAGCGACAGAGCGAGGGCTTGGGGTAGGCCGCCTAGGCAAATGGTTTTTTGAGGGTCGGCTGCCATTTTCAGCTCTAGCCTACCATAAGACGGCCATAAATAATGCAACAACAACAACAACTAAATCTATTGGCCAAATTATACAAGAGGCCAAAATAGATAGTACAAATATGTACATATAAACGTAGCTTAGGATGTGGAATAAAATGTCATTTTACAGCAGAGCTAGCAATATGTTAAAAATGGGATTAAATGGGAATATCTAACAAAATAGAACTTAGCTAGATATGGCTGGTATACTCAGATATTTAGGGAGGGAAGAAACCTAGAATTAGAAAAGGAATTCAGGTGTATATATCGCATATATCAAGTTCTTTGTGCATTATAATGCTAAATTGGCATCAAGACTTGATGGAAAATATAAAGAAAATTAAGTCAACTAACGGAACTAAATATCTCTATATAGCCCAATCGGCCAGAGCAGATTTCTCACGCTCTTTTTATTGGCCCTGAGAGCCACAGCACATACCAAATGGTATATCAGTCCATTTCATACCAAATCAGATCTTTTGGGACGGAAGGCTGTTCAGCATAATCAATTTGTAGATCTTATCTGGAAACCGCAACTCGATGACGAACTCCAGTCGTTGACATCTGTTGTCTTTCTCTCGGATCTCGAAGGCATTGGTAACGCTCGGAGTTCGATTTCCTAGAGCGAGTTCTCATATATATATATATATATATATATATATATATATATATAATTTTCTTTTTGTAAAAAATATAGTCTACCATCTAAGTTTCTATCGAGCCTATTCCATATGAATAAATAAAAATACAAACATACATAAATACAATTAAATTTGTACTAAAAAACTTCAATATGAATTGTATTTTTCATATACAACTAAATCTATAATTCTTTACAAATTGCTGAATAGAATTCTTTTGAATTCTCGCGATTCTAAGGATTGTATTGCATACATATAGAAACCCTAATGGCGTCTGCCTTTGATGGTTGAACTTTCAACCCTAATTGAAATTTTGAAAAGAAGAAAAGATTTAGAAAGACAGACGCAGAGAGCCAGTCTGTGTGTGTGAGAGGGGGAGCAAAATAATGGATTAGAAATAATAGCACAGAAATGGAACTGAAGCAAGCGATAAACAGAAGAAGCATAACGATAATTGAGTCAATATTGAGAAATCAACAATATTTATAAAATATGTAAAGAAGGAAGCTAAACCTATGAGAGAGCTTTTAATTAATTGATCAACAAATATAGAGATCCTGAATGTTAAAGAAAAGGCTTGGAATAGGAACAGAAAACACATGATCTGAGCTCAAGATCAAACGCTGCAAAAGCTTACCCATACAAATGCGATCGAAACTGGAGGCGTATAGTAAAACTTACAGAGTGAATAAGAGAAAGATAGAGAGAAAGAGAAGAAAAGAGCGGGAGAGAAATCAGTTGACAAAGATCGAGAAAGAGAGAGAGAGAGAGAGCATCCTAGAAGAAGCTCTTACAAGTTAGAGAGAATCTGACAAAAACTCATACAAATTTATAATAATTATAAAAGATTGCATTCAGAAAAAATCTCCATATAACTCCACACATATGTGAGAACATTTGCGAATCTAGATATTCCAAAGCATTGAGATCGTGAATGAAAACGAGAATAAGTTTCCTCATTCAATATATTTTGCTTATCTGACTGCAAGCGGCAATAGATCGTTTTATTGTCGTTAAGAGAGAACAAAAAAAATATGCATATGTATATATAAATAAAAAAATAAAAAAATAACAACAAAAGCAAAACAAGTTTCCGCAAAACTCTTTCAGCCATTTGGTATAAACAATATTTTTCTCCGACTCTATGATTAACAAGTAGCCGGTGCGGGGCATCTATTATATCTCGTTAAAGTCCAAAACCCGATCGAAGACAAACTCTCTATAATTACTCGACATATGCTATTAAAATTGACCAAAGAGAGAGAGAGAGGGAAGTGATTGATAGATAGAACAAGATAGAGCTGTGACATGTATGTATATGCAAGCTGATCATACCCCCCAGTGGGCTGGCAAAGTGTACAGGGTATTGCAATAGGAATAATTTTGCATGCTTGATCGTTAGCCAAGACTTATGCGAGCCAATACACAAATACTAAAGTACAGTTGGTATATACAGCATATAGTATATATAGATATATGAGTATGACTATGACTATGACTAATCGACGGGCGAGAAACCGCTTTGAAAGTTAACTATTTAACGGCCGATTTCAATGGATAATGCCGACGGCTGGGTTGCCCTTGACACCTGCATCTGCCAGGTAGCACTAATAAGCCAAACTAATTGCACACCTTCCGCTCGCCGTTGGCATTGAATCTAATAGTCGTGTGCGCTCTCTGGTCACAATTTCGATTTTGATTTGCTTATCGTTTCATTTCATTTCGTTTCATTTCATTTAATTTCGTTTCATTTCGTTTCGTTTCGTTACGTTTCGCTTTGATGACGGAACTGGAAAAGTAAATGCCGCCTGCAGTTGTAGGTCTATGTGAATGTGAATTTGTGTGTGTGTGTGTGTGTGTGTGTGTGTGTGTATTCATTTGTATATAGTTTAAGCCAGCTCTCTTTCATCTTCGACTGCTAAAGCCACCCTGTTGCGTTAGAATTGATATACATATACATATACATATGTGCGTATATGTGTGTATGTAAATATATGTACATATCTATATGCATATATTTTTTATGATTTTTTATTGTTGTTTTTTCATTCTATTTTTTTTCTCAATATTTCATTTGTTATCCGTTCTATTGCTTTGCTTTTCTTTCATTTTGCTTTACCTCTGGCTGAGCTGCATTCGCGCTGCGCACGCGCAAAACTTGTTAGAAGTTTTGTGTTCTATTCTTATACTATAAACACACATATATACATAATATATATATATATATATATATATATATATATATATATATATATATATGTATATGCATATATATATATACATAGCGACGACTGCTGGAACGGGGAAGTCGGGTAGCCGTCATCGCAGCGCGCATGTTCAAGGTTAACAACGCTCGAGCGCCGCTCAAGTGTGTGCACCGCGGACTATCGACGGTCCGCTCTAACAAATGGTTTAATGGAACGGACGCCGCGACGCGACAGACCGGCATGGCATGGCATCGCATCGCATAGCCGGCAACTAGTCGAGTGGGTAGTAGCAGTAGCATTCGATATATGTATATAGGGTAGCGGGGGATGGGCATTAGGCGTTGTCACAGTCGCAGCTGTCGCAATGGCTTGATATTATCGGGCGATTGTCAGAGAAGCGGAAAAAAGTTGTTGATAAAGTGTTATGTGATCGCTTTGCTGTTCCATTCGAGCATTCCAGGCAGTAAAGGGTATCGAAGTTATGAAATGAATTGATCTCTAGCTGCTAGGAGATCTATATAGAATTCATTACAACTGGATAACGTGTTATGTGATCGGATTGCTGTTCCATTCCAGCATTCCAGGCGGTAAAAGGTATCTAAGTTATGAATTTAATTGATCTCTAGCTGCTAGAAGATCTATATAGAATTGATTACAACTCTTTAACGTGTTATGTGATAGTTTGGCTGTTCCATTCCAGCATTTCTAACAGTAACTCTTGTATTAGCTAAAATTTCAATTGTTTGGAGACAAAACTGATTTATATAGAATTAGTAACTAATTGATAAACTGTTATGGGCACTTTTTTATGTTCCTTTCCAGCGTTTCCAGCAATATAAGCAAGCTTGAGCCACTGTCAGCTCTAATTATGCCTTTATAAGTTATAGAAAACCCATTAATAAACTGTTAATGAATTTATGTGGTGTTTCATTCCACTATTCCTAGCAGTAAACGGCATCTAAATCAATTATTTATGTATGTATGAGGGTTATAATAAGTATAAAGAAACCTAATGAAACATTTTTAATCGTACTCGTTATTGTTCCATTTCAGCATTCCTAGTAGCTAATCCGTTTACATTTCTGATAATCATAATCTTAAAAAGTATTGGATTCCAATTTGTTTTGACCTTTGAGTGAACTCTTTAGCATTCCATTTCAGTATTCCCACCAGTACAGCCTTTGCCGTGATTCTGCCATTCCATTTTGCGAGCTCGCTAATAGTATTCCATTTCGCTGTGCGCTCCCAATATCAATGCTCGAATGGAATGCGCACTGAATTCTTAAATCGGCTGATAGAGATATGAACGGAAACTGAGCCGAGCTGTGTAGAGCGGAGCAGAAACTGTTAAGCAATCTCTTTTGTGTTCTATTTCAGTATTCCAAGCATAAAAGACGTCACCATGTCGCTTGCTGAATTAAATGGGCAATAGAACAAGAGAACTTGTGTGTGTTCCATTCCGGCGGCAGGGCTGTGGGAAATAAATCTCTCAAGTCAAGTTCGCAATGGAAATGATGTTTTCAAATTTCCGATATCAACTCGAATTTATCGATATATTCAGACATTGATTTTCTCATCACTCGAACACCTTGTTTCGATTCGTGTGTTTTTGTGTGCTCAAAGGAGGCTTTGCCTTCGATTTGCAGGCAGACCCCAGAGCAGTTTTAGTTTAGTTTCATTTTATAAATAGTGCTCGACTATAGCACACGTTTTATTTTTTTTTTTCTATTTTTGAATTTTTTATTTCATTATTTGGCAAAAAGTATTGTAAAAATCGTAAAAAGTGATAGTGTATAAATCTCAATTGGTAATCGGTGTAAGCCAAATTAAGTATCGCGTTCAAATGACTCAAAATCTAAAAGAATTAGAACAAGAGCTGCAGTTGCCGCCGCCGTTGCCGCAGTCGCCACCGCCGCAGCAGCAGCAGCAACAACAACAACAACAAAAGCTACTACAGCAAAACGGGCAAAGCGACGATGAGGGCCAACAACCAGTACAACCCAAACAGGAGCAACAACAAGAGCAACAACCACCAGAACCACCAGAACCACCAGAACAACAGCCGCAACAAAAGGAAAATAAACAACAAAAACAGCAAGCGAAGAACAAAATATTCTCGAGCGATGCCGAATTGTTGCGCGATTTGGCGAAATCGCAGCCACAGCAAACGCCTCAATCGCCGCACGAGAAACGCATCGGCCTCATCGCAGCTATGGGCCACTTTCGCCCAAAGAATGCCACGCCCATACAGTTCTATAACTATGTAAGGGAGTTCTGCATAATGCACAATTGCAGCATCGACGAGGCCATGGAACGGGCACCCGATGCCTGGACGAAGCTCAGCAAAGATCAAAGGAAACTCTACAATTCGGTAAGGATATGGCTTAATGCATTTCAGATTCCGATTCAGATTCCTATGCAGAACTTGGGCTGGCTATATGGGAACAGCTGGACGTCCATTTTAGCTGTTCCTTGTACTTAGCTCAGTATGATTTCTCTTCTGTTGAAATCTTCTCCATTTGTTTGCCTATAATCTAAAGATGTATTTTCCTAAGATTCAGGATGACAGTTAAAACTTTTCGTTGCCTTAGCTGTTCATTACTCAAACTGTTCACAGTTCCATTGCTTCAGTTGCATCTGTTCATAGCCCAAACTGTTTATTGATCTTCTTCAAATCTCAGACCGCTCTTAGCCTAAACTGTTCATGGTTCTATCTTTTCAGTTTCATCTGTTCCTAGCCTCCACTGTTCTTAGTTTAAGCTGTTCGCAGCTTAAACGGGTGACTTTCGTCTCTTCAGTTCCATCTCTTAATTATTCCAGCTGTTCATAGCTTAGACTGTTCATAGCGCATATTGTTTATACCTCAAACTGTTCATAGCATCAGTCGTTCCTAGCTTAAACTGTTCACAGTTGCATCTCTTCAGTTTCAATTGTTTCTTAGCCTCAACTGTTCATAGCCCAGATTGTTCTCTTCTTCAACTGTTCATAGCTGATGACTTTCGTCTCTGCAGTTTCATCTGTTTATAATCTAAACTGTTCACAGCTCTGTTTATAGCTTAGACTGTTCACAGCATATGCCGCTCATTGCTTAAAGTGTTCATATCGTAAATTTGTTCATAGCATATGCCGTTCTTAGCTTAAACTGTTCACAGTTCCATCTCTTCAGTTTCATTTATTTCTTAGCCTCAACTGTTCATAGCTTAAGCTTAAACTGTTCATAGCCCTAATTGTTCTCTTCGGAAACTGTTCATAGCTCTATTCTTATGTAGCTCAAACTGTTCATAGCATAAGGCAATATAGCTCGAACCATTCACAGCTTCATAAGATTAATTCCAATTCAATTATAGCACAGTCTGTTGCTTGCTCAAACTATTCCCACCTTCATTTGCTCAGCTTCATCAGTTCAGTTTCCGCTGTTCACAGTTTCATCTGTTCCCAGTTTCACCTCTTTGCAATTCATCAGATCATGCAAGTCTGTTCCCAGTTCAAACGAATCAGTGCGAGTCCAACTGTTCCTAGTTTAGATATCTGCTTTCCCAGCCCCTCAAAGTATTCCCACTTTCGTCTCTTCCCATTTCCGTCCCTTCCATTTTCTATTTAGGCCACTCTCAGCTCATTTTCGACTGTCTCTCTCACTCTCTCTCTCTCTCTCTCTCTCTCTCTCTCTCTTTCAGGAAATGCACGCCGCTCTGCCCATTCCCGTGCCGCGCCACCTCATCTATAGGGCATTTCAGATGGAGCGCGCCGGTCGCTGGAAGATCAGCTGCGCACCCGCCGCGAACGGCACGACCACGCTGTACTCGATGGAATCGTATTCGCCGCCGGTGAAGCCCACCAAGCTGCAGGCGCGCCTGAAGGCGCAGCAGCCGCGCTACGATAATCTCGCCGAGATTGTGCCCTGCATCCCGGAGTCGCCGCGCACGCACCCGACATCGCCTTCGGGCAGCTCGCCGAAGGCAAAGGCGTCGCCCGATCAGCGGGAGAAGCGCGAGAAAACAACGCTGACGCTGCGCGAGCTGCTCTCCGAGCCGAACCTGAAGGGACTGCGCAAGGCTCGGGGGGTCGGCAAGGCGGCGCCAGCGGCGCCGGCCAGCACACAGAAGCAGCAGCAGCCGGCGCAGCGCCCGACGCCGGCAAAGTGCAAGAGCAAAAAGCTGCTGAACACGTCGTCCGTGAAGAAGAAGCAGCAGCCAGAGCCAGATCAGCTGAAGCCGCCGCAGAAGCCCCACCGTCCAGAAGCCGAGCAGACGTCGGCACGCTCGAAGCTGCCAGCCATTGGCAAGCGAAAGCACACACTCAGTAAGAAATCGAAATCCAAATCCTAAGTGAGCCTGGCCAGAGCGCCAGGCGAATTTCTCAATCACCAAGTTAAGATACATCCTCATCCTCAACGTTCACGATTACAAACAGCATGCATGATAAACAAAAAACAAAACAAAAAAAAAAGTACAAAAAAACAAATGGAAGGGAAAGAGAGTACACGCTCACACAGATACACACTCACTCTCACAGCCACACAGTGCCCTGATCTACAGGACTACAGACTCAGATCTCTGCACACGTATACACACTAACACACTCAGCCTTACATCTAATTGATTAACCGGCTTATCGGAATCGTTATAATGTTGTTTAATCATACACGCACATATAAATATCGATACACATAGAGAGAGATGTGTTTATCGATAATCGACAATTTTCTTCAACTTCAACTTGCTGCTGCCCTACGTATGATATCGACACTCAACACAGACATTAGTATAGCTCGATCAGTGAATGAAGAACACGAATGTTAACTACCCTGAAGCGCAAACACGTATAGATAGATGATTGTCATTGTATTCGTATTATTATTGTTAACCTATGCAGCGTTTGTACCAGAATCAGCATGAGCGAAAATACCAAATAAATGTGTACTTGAATGTTGAAAGTGTGGCACGTGTTCTCTGTGATTATGCTGCATAGATAAGGCGAGGGAGGGATGGGGAGCAAGAGTGGGCGAGAGAGAGGGAGGAAATGGCATAGAGTTGATAAGATCAATGTATAAATATACAGATCAACTTTGAAGCTTAGATTAACTATGATATATTATATTATAATCTTTATCATATTTAATATTATATTATGTCTTGCCTCTTGTCTTGATTCTATTATATCATATATCTTATATTTTATATATAGATATCTACTTAAATCTAGTCTCACGCTCTGCTCATATATGTTTAATATAACTCATACATATATACATTATAGGAAGCATACGATATCATATTCGATCATTTACATACATATACATATGTATATGTTATATAGATACTTTTCTAGCTCATAGATACTTCCACATCTCATACTGGAGTATCTAACAGCTCTATATGTATTCCAAAGATACTTTTGTATTAGATAGACAATAGATCATTAGCACATCTAACTGATATGAAAGATACAAATACATACAGATATAGATACAGATATAGATACAGATATGATAGCATATATATCATAGCATAGATATAATGTATAGATAGATATAATAGCATATATTTATCTCTTAAGTACTTTGTATCAAACATTTACTTATGGCTCTACAGGATACCTTTGGATTCAATTGAACTGAAGTATCTAACAGATACGTTTGCATCTTACAAATATTTCTGTATCTAGTCAAAGCTGTCACGCAGATACTTTTTGTAACTAGCTCCTTTACTTGTGCTTATCACAGTATCTCACAGATACTTTTGTATCGCATAGCTAACAATTTATATTGGAGATACTTGTGTATTCTCAAGATACTTGCGTATCTCACAGATGCATACATATGTATGTATGTATGTATCTTGGCCATGACGTTTGATGAACCGTTATTTAGGTAACGCACACCATAGGCAATAAAAAACATTGTTGTCGCTGTTATTGTTGTTGTTGTTGTTGTTGTGCCACAGACAACTAACAACCTAGAAGAACCAGCAAGCAGCGACAACAACAACAACAACAACAACAGCGGCAGCCGCACACAAAGATAAATGAAATCAGCAAAAAACCCAGCAGGAAAAAAAATTCGCAAAGAAAAAATTTAATTTTTTCGCTTCTCATTATTTTTATTTATATTTTTATTTTTTCGTATTTTTGCCAATCGGCACGCAGTTGCTAGCGTTGAGCGTTTGACCTAAATACGCTGCCATATTGTTGTTGTTGTTGTTGTAGTTCTCAATAGGCTAAACTTAACGCGCTTTTGTGCGTCGCTATAAAAGAAAAAAAAAAAAAACAGGCAGGCAAAAAATAAAATGGCAAATAAAAAGAATTCGCTGTTAGATTTTCGCTGTTGTTGTTGCTAATTTCGCAAAAAAAAATAGAAACAGAAAAAAAAGAAGAATTCTATTCCGCGTTCGGCCGAAAAAGCAGGCATGAAATGAACAACTGTACACAAAAAGCGAAAAGTCACTGTCGACGCTGACGCTGATGCCGATGCCGGCAGCGACGGCAACGCTGACGCCTTGCGTAGCCCACGACATCGTTTTGACTCTGGTTCTTCTGCTTTAGCTGCCGTTGCCGTTGCCGTTGCTAGTTCTGTTTGGTGCTTGCTAAATTTATAGCCGCTTACGCATGACGCCGAAAAGCAGCTGACAAAAGCTCCCACATACACACACACACACACATGCAAACATGTGCACGCTTTCGAAAGCTGCCTGCTTTGGCATTGCTTCAGAGCGCAGCTAGGCAGCGCCATTTGACTTCTAACTGCTTTTATAAACAGCCAGCACATGGGCACACATACACACACACACACACACATACATAGAAAATAGACTGCACACATGTAGGCGCTAACTAGGCGTCCAACTGAACTTAACTAGCGTCCGCTGCTGACAGCGCTGCTCTGTGTTGTCAAGCTGCAAAGGCGCAGCGACGAGCAGCGTCGATTACGCAATGCGTTCGTTGCTTTACACACACACACACACACACAGAGGCTAAGAGCAGCGCCAACAACAGCAACAACAACATCATTTTGTTTCGTTTCCGCGATCGACGCATTTGCGAAAAAAAACCAACAAAAATGAAGGAAGAAAAAAATTCGCAAACAGCAGAAGTTGCGATGCGTGCGACCCAATTGGAAATTTGACATACCAAAAGAATATGCGATAGCGAGCGAGAGAGATAGAGAGAGCATACGTTTGTATTGGATTTGCGAATACAAATACAAATTAAATTAATATAAGTCAAGTAAAAAAATATATAATATATATAATAAAAATATAAAAATATTTAATTTATAAATATATATATTTTTTTAAATATTTTATTTATAAAAATATATATATATAAATGTATCTAAAATTAAAAAAAATATTTTTAGCTTTAATTTTGTAAAATTAATTTGATTTCAAGCTTAATAATGTGTTTATAAATGTAATTATTATATAAGTTAATTAACACTAAAATGAACTTAAATATTACATATAAAAATTTTTATAGTTTTAAACGCCATTTAATTGTGCAATTAACATTTTTATTTAAGCTAAGGTTTTATGGTATTTTTTACAGTTAATATATATGTATGTATGTGTATATATACTATTTTGATTATTTATATAAAATATTACCAAATAATTTACTTATTAGTAAAATGAATATTTCCTTATTCCCTAGCATATATGCCCCATCATACTCTCCATTGTTTCTGTTTTTTTTTTTTTTTTTTTTTTTTTTTTTTTATGCCATCTTAGATAATTTAGCCTGGGGCCATTTTGTTTCTTTGTCGGCTAAATGATAGAGTAGAGTTTTATAAGCTATTATTTAGTATCTTATTTAAGTATTTCAAAGATGGAAGACTAAACTAAATCGAATATTTTAAATAAGAGATACTTGTGTATGATATAGATGCTTCTATATCAAAGAAAACCCTTAAGTTCCGACCCTGTATAGCTAACAGCTACTTTTGTATCTGACAGCTATATGTTGTATCTCGTGTATCTCAGACTATCTAATGGCGTCTCACTCACGCAGCTACTTTTGACAGATATTTATGAAAAATGTTTGTCTGTTGTCTTCAGAAAGAAATGCCAAAAGGAGAGAGTGAGAGTGAAAGAGAGAGCGAGAGAGAGATAGACATAGATAGCTGGAGCATTACAGCTTCACTCATTCGAGTTTTATTACAGCTGTCCAAACCGCGTGCGCCCGCTCAAAAATACAAAAACACAACAACAACAACAACAACAACAACAACAAAAAAGAGAAATTTTCGCAGTTGGCTTTGTTTGACCTTTGGCTTGGCCGTGGGCGTGCGTTGTGCAAAAAATAAAAGATCGGCCAGCGCGCAAAACTGTTTCTAGCGGGTCGTTAGTCAGTTGAAATTCAATGCTATCTACACACACACACACACACACACACACACATGTAGAGGCACACGCACGCACGCACACGCGCACACACAGAGTCGCAAATTAGTTCACTAGGTGCCTGATTGCTGTCCGCTGTTGTTGTTGTTGTTGTTGTTGTTATTGTTGTTGTCATTTAAATTTAGCGTTGAGCAGCAGCGTACAGCGACTGAAACATTGAAAATCATAAAGAAACCCAACAACAACAACGGCAACAACAACGACCACAATGATAATAATAATAAAAATTTCGCACATATCTGTCCTTGACACACATTGCGTATACGCAATTTACGCAGCCGGCGTGCGAGCGAGCGAGCGAGCGAGCGAGCGAGCGCGAGTGCGTATACGCATTAGTGTTCTATGTGTGCGTGTGTCCGTGTGTGTGCTTGTAGTTTGTCTGTGACCTACTTACGTATCTGCCAGATACAGATAAGAACATATGTTTCGCAGTATTCGCAACAAAAAATCAACAGCTGCTCCAACTATTCACTCTCTCGCTCTCCCTCTCTCTGTCTCTCTCTCTCTGTGCCCCTCTTGAGGCGGAAGTCTGAGGCGGTCTGCCTGAATGGGCGTGGCTGGCATCTCTATTGAACACACGACTGCATTATTGGCATTGATTAATTGATGCGCTGCCGCCAGTTCAAAAGGTGCGACATAAGACAAATTATGCGAATCCACTCAAATATGAATTTTATTTATATTTACTTATTTATATATATATATTTTTTTTTTTCAATTTTGGACAGCTGCAAAAATGTGCATCAAATGTTGGCCAAAGATCAGCGCAGCAGTTAAAGATCAATTGCAGCAGTCAAGCAATTGGCCAAGACAAACGATGTGCGAATTTGCAGTTAGCCAATAAAAACGAAGACCCCAAGCAAGATATGGGAGTCTATATAGGAAGGAAACTGAATATTACATATATGCATGAATATTACTAAAAAAAAAAAAAAGCCAAATAAAAGGAATACATAAAAGATAATACATATAAATGGATTCTGACATAACGGAAAATGCGATCTACCACGCCCCTAGTGGGCAGAACGATTCCGAATTTCAAGATGGACGTACAGTGAACTAAACATATTATGCTCATTTCACTTTCATAAATATGCATAAAAATGTAAAATTTAAATTTTGAAAAATATTTGAAAATAAATTTTTATATAATATTGTATTTTGGTCAAATAAGAAATAAAATTTGAATAGGCATATTACATTTATTACATACTATAATAAGGAATGTGTATGTATGTACATGTGTATATAAATTATATATACATATAACTAAAAGTTTACTACTTATACATATGTATGTATATATTTATATTTTCTTATATTTCGTTATGCACTCAAACTGAATTTGCAGCTAAAAATGTTCATTTGGCTATTCCCCCATATATTATTATGATTATTACTAATATTTTGATTGGCTTTACAGATTTCTTTCTATATATAGCTACATATATGGGGAAATAGTTTCTCTCTAATAAAGCAGTGTACGTGCCTTTGGCTTGATATGAGGCAAGGGCCAAGGCGAGGGCTGCGGCAAAAG